GTCTCACAGTTAATGGAGACAATAGAGGCATCTTTTGGTTGTGGCAATTATAGGAAGATTGTGGACTTCTTCAAATTCTATTTCAAAATATCCCTGTTTGAATACAGTTTTCATATTCACACCTCCAAATGTAGTTTCTATATGTCAGTCTGAGGACTGGTGCCAAGCTGGGTATATAAGAATCACATAAGGAAGAGACTGTTTAAAAACACAGATTTCCAGACCTACTGAATCAAAACCTAGAAAAATCTGGGACTCATAAAAAAATAATTTATGTTCAGCTCCCCTTTATTTAGCTGGTTACTATGTATTTTTTTTTTAATGTTTATTTTTGAGAGAGAGAGAGAGAGAAAGACAGTGCAAGTGGGGAAAGGGCAGAGAGAGAGGGAGACACAAAATCTGAAGCAGGCTCCAGGCTCTGAGCTGTTAGCACAAAGCCCGATGCGGGGGTTCAAAGTCACAAACCATGAGATCACTGACCTGAGCTGAAGTCAGACACTTAGCCGACTAAACCACCCAGGCACTCCACCATGTATTCTCTTAAAAGCCACCCCTAACTCCTCAGACACAGCTCCACCAATACACAGTACTAGCTCATGATACATAAAGCACAACAGGTCTGTATCTCCCACTAGACTATGAATTATCAGAGGGCATGGTACACATATTCACGGTATTCTCAACGCAAGCATATTGTCAGTAGCTGGTTTTCAATACATGTTTTCTGAACCAAATCAACAACTGTCAAGTATTATGTATGGAAATATATTTTTAAATGATAAAGTGACTATCAATCAGGTAAGGTACATCCACATCATCTTGAGAGTGTTTAAAAAATACACATTCCTGGGGCTGTCTAGATTTAGTGAGAGTCACCACCTTCATGACCTCCTCCACTGTGTGAGAATAACATCCAGGGGGAAGTGGTTGTAGATAATTAGAAGAAGATTTTGACTGTTCTGGGTCAGAAAGAGGAGGATGTTCCAAAAAAGTAATGATACCAGAAACTGGTCACACTGGGGGATGCCTGGCTGGTTCAGTTGGTGGAGAATGTGATGCCTGATCTTGGGGTTGTGAGTTCAAGCTCCACAATGGGTACAGAGATTACTTAAAAATCTAAAAACAAAACAAAACAAAACCCCACACATTGTGAAAATGGAATTATAATTACTTAGTTATCAAGTAGATATGGGACCTGAATGGGAAAGGAGTCTGAGTTTCTAGCTGCAGTAAATGTGCCAACAGTGGCACCATTTATGGATGGGGAAAAAAGCAGGTCTCAGGGCTGGGACCAATGGACTGTGTGGGAGGAATGCTAGCTCAGTATCTAGACATATTGAGTCTGAGGCAGCTACAGGACATCCACACAGAGATGAGTGCCTTGCATAAATGGGTTTATGGCTGAGAAGAGAGACCTAGGCTGAAGATGAGATTTAGGGTGATAAGCAGAAAGATGGTAACAAACCCACAGAATGAGACCACTCATACATACAATTGTTAAGAGTGAGAAGGAGGAGAGACAGAGACAGAACCCTGAAGAAGACAAAGTCAACTGAGGAAGGTAAGCTCTGAAATGGGTGACTAGCCACAGAAGTAACAGCAAAATTAGAAAAAATATGGTTTTAGGGAAGGAAGGCAGAGTCAACATTATCAAAAGTCACAGAGGGATAAGAAAAGAAACCAATGGAAAGTCCCTTACTGCATTTCAAAACTAGAAAGCTTGAAAATGGTACTTTAGAATAAAGGTTTCAGTGGGGAGGTTGGGGCAGAACCATGGGCTGAAGAATGCATAGGTGATGAGGATGGAGAGGCAAATAGTATGATGTCTTCTTTTGAGACTCTGTGCATATAGGTGTGCACGTGCTTATGTCCACACAGGTAATAGGACAAGTGGGGCTGAGATGAGAGAAGAGGGTTGAGATGACAAGAGGCTGAAGCACATTTATAGAATAAGGAAGAGGAGATGTGAGAAAAAGGTTGAAGACACGATTAAGAGTGGTAATGACAGAGAATGAGGTCCCTGAGGAGGAATGAGGCATTGGGATACAAACCTAGGATCAGAGCAGGGAGGTTCTTCTCCTGGGACTTAAGATGAGTGCAGAGAGATATTAACTTTCCAGGTGAGAGTAGTGGGCACATTGAGAGCTGGCTTCCTCTGGGACAAGCCAGAGCGGAGGAGCAGTGGGAATGACAACGGTGTGTAGGAGGACAGACAGTGAGGCACCCCAGGTCCAATCAGTGCCCAAGCTTACCCAAGTGCACACATGAACCCAACGACAGCTTACAGAAGCTGAACAACAAACTACTTGAGGCAAAGTTTCATGGGGTTAGGGAGAATTACAGACCCACAGAGATTATTTTTCCAATATATTAGAACAATAAGAAAGTCATTAAGTAATAAGTAAGGTGGGGAAGGAAGTAATGTACTACAATAGGTGAAAAAATCAAGGAACTAAAGATCGTGGTGAAGTCAAGGGCTAAGAAGACAGAAAGTAGCCGTCAAGATAGCGGCGTTTAAGATTTCAGGTTGTGAGCTGAGAGGTCCAGAACTGTAAGTCTACGGCATTACATGGTTCCTTCCCAGGGACACGACGCCATCCAGGCACAAAGAAAGAGGTACTGAGAGGAGAGGGCAAAGAGGAAGACAGTGAACAGCGTCCTCAGCATTCAAGCCTTTGGCAAATATGTGAGAGGAGGCTGCAACATGGAGACTGTGAAGTCGGGACAGATCCCAAGGGCAGCAGTGTGATGTGTCTGGATGGCATGAGTCTCAGAGGAGATTTTAATATGCAAGTTGGAGAGTAATGGCTTGGACTAGGAAGTTCTGTGGTTACAGGGGAAGCAAGAACAAGTAGCCTCTACCTGAGAAAGACAGAAAGGTAGTTTACTCAGGGGAGAGCCAGGCTTCTACAAGGAGAAGATGCAGGGACAGGGTTCACTGAGTGGCATGCCCATAGCAGAGTGCAGCTTTGGAGACCACCATATATAGAGAGTGGCCAGAAAGACAGCAGGGGGCATGGGGCCACACCTCCTCTGAGGAAGAAATGCCTGTCCCTAATACTAGGTACCCATACAAGGCGAATGGCTCTCTTCCTGAGAAGACTTACAGAAAAAAGAGCCCAAGCCAGTGAGGATGGAGGCAGGGTTACTAAGTACACTTGGTAACAACCAAGCTCTCCTTGCAGCCTTCAACTTAGCCTGTCCAACAGGTAGTTGGGTAAATAAGTCTAACATTTAAGGGACAAATCACAACCATTTCATTGACTTGTATAGTTGAGAGGAATTTAAGTTACAAATGTCTTACTTTTAAGCATCTCCGTTCCAATTTTTACCAATTCCTCGATTTAGATCAATTTGATCAAACTAATCAGGGAATTCAAACATCAATTATCATATCCAGTGACTGCAATTACAACAGATTTATGTAAAAAAACAAGGGCAACTAGGGACTTGGAATAGGAGGAAGGGAGCAAGGTGGCTGGGGCCACAAAAGGGAGGGATCTTGTGGTGGGGCTGGTCCACTGGTCTGTGCCCAGACTGTGATCCCACACTCTACCGTGTAACAGAGCCACAAAGAACTGAACACAGCCACAAATAAGTGCAGGTAAAACTGGGGAGATCTGAATGGGTTGCATCCATGTGGATTTCCTGGTTGTAGTTATGTAAGAGGTTACCACTGGGGAAAACCAGGCCAAGATACCCTTGTGCTATTTTTCACAACTGCATGCAAATCTACAATTATCAAAACAAGAAGTTTGGTTTTTTGTTTTTTTCTTTTTTTAAATTAAAGGCAACAAAGCAAAATGTACACCTGGAACATAGGGTCTTCAAAGTCATGGTAAACACTGGAGATTAGTGTCTCTAGCTCAAGGATATTCAACCAGAAATTTGAAGAGGGTGAAGGAGCACCTAAATGTTATAACCACTGCCCACAACCCCATTCCCTGCACACACACCCACACCATATGGAAAGAGAAACCTAGTATTTAATAAGTAATCAATAACAGACATGAAATATTTTAACAGATTAGTCCATCTGATTTGTCCAAAATTAGCCAACATACTTTTCATGGAAATGTACTTGGTTGACAGAAGGAAAAACATTGTTCATGGAAGAAATAAAGTATGGACTTTCCCCCCAGTAATTAGATTTTCAATGGAATGTCCATACCCTTCTAACAAGGAATACAACATACATAAGGGTATATAATCTGCGACCTTGAATAGAGTGAGATTATTCAGTCTATACAGGAGGACTCAGCACACTAACACCGAACCATCATTGCATGTACATGAGTGGGTACATCAGAATCCAAATGGTCAACCACAAGGGAACCGTTACACAAAAGAATGGCACATCCAAAGCCACTATTAAAGCCACTAAAAGACTTAATATAGGAAAATGTTTATAATGTATTGCTATGTGGGAAAAGAACTATAATCATATGTGAAGGATTCTAATTTTAAATTTAAAAGAATGTGTATATATGTTTGTTCAGAAAAAATACAAAAAGAATATAAACCCAAAAGTTTTTTATTTGTTTTTAAATTATAGGTTTTTTTCCTTTACATATTTCTGTTTTAAAAGTTTTCTGCAGTGAGTACATACAACTTTTATAATTTGGGGAAAAAAGCAAACTATACTGATAATATTTTAAGTAAAACTTACAAAGCCTATGGAATAATAGGAAAAGGAAGTATGTTTATGAATACACATACACACATATATGACTACAATTATTTTAAAGAAAGGAAATTATGCATAACAAAAACAGATTAGTAGAAAGTACACCAAAGTAACGGTGGCTGTGTTTGAAGGATGAATTATGAGCAGTTTTCCTTCCTTCTATTCTAGACCTTGAAATTTTTCCTTAAAGAACGTTTATTATGTTAATATGCAAAAAAACCACTGTATTTATCAACCCTATCCCAAACTTTTTCACCGTAACCTGCCTAAAACAAACCAACATACACATGCACACAAAACCACAAATACTTACATGGGCTTACATCTCTGTATCTGTTTCGATTTCTGTTTTCTGGAAACTTGGCCACTCTATGAGGATAGTCATGGGACTCATTGCGAATTTCCTTAAAATAACAAAAATATATTTTAATATTCCTCTTAAATTGTATATAGCAAAACAGATACCTTCCCAGCCAGTATAAAGTAACATTTATTGAACACTTATGATATGCCAAGTACAACACAAAGCACGTTGCCTACGTTATCTATTTCAATTCTGACAACACTGGTAGGAACAGTTATCCCTGTGAGGGATGACAGACTCTGAGAGATAAAACAATCTGTCAAAGGTCACAAAACCAGTAAGTGGCAGGACAACAAAGGTCGTTCAGGCACCAAAGTCTCTGCTCTTGATGAATTTATATATTGCCATGCAATATTCAACCCCTACAAGTAACCTTAAACACGTTATGTAATACAGAACTAATGCAATGGAGGTTATCTAGGCTAAACACATCACACTCAGATTTCTGACTAAACTCTCAATAATACCCATCTCTATTTTAGAGTTTCTATCTTAAAACTTTAATCTGTTTCTTCATCTTGGGCACCTGGGTGGCTCAGTTAAGCAGCTGACTTTGGCTCAGGTCATGATCTTATGGTTTGTGGGTTTGAGCCCCGTGTCAGGCTCTGCTGACAGTTCAGAGGCTGGACCCTGCTTCAGATTTTGTGTCTCCCTCTGTCTTGCCCCTCCCCTGCTCACACTGTCTCTCTCAAAAATAAATAAACATTAAAAATTAAAAAAAAAAAAAAACCTTTAATCTATTTCTTCATCTTTATGCCGCTTTACTGTTACTTTGAGTCCAGAAATATCCTCAAATTTTATTTCTAGAGCCATAAGTGCTTAGCAACCACCACTAGGCCAGAAGCTCATTTTAGGACCCTTACAGTTTTCTGTGTTCTACAATGGAAGAAATTCTGTGAGGACACAGCTGCACTAGGCACTCAGCTATTTGGTGTATCACCCAATTTGTTTTTTCACCCAAATAGAATACGTTTTTTCTGAGAATTCTGGTAAAAAGTGAGGGGCAGCTGGGTGGTTCAGTCGGTTAAGTATGCTGACAGCTCAGAGCCTGGATCCTGCCTCAGATTCTGTGCCTCCCTCTCTGTCCCTCTCCCACTCACACTCTCTCTCTCTCTCTCAAAAATAAACATTAAAAAATTGTTTTAAAGTGTGCATTAACAGCAAAAATTAACTGGGTCTTTGATCACACTATCACATGTGAGAAAAAGCATTTTAAGTTAGGCACCAGATAATTTTATAAATTAAGCATAAATAAGTTATTGAAGTCACTTAGCAAATGACCTTACTGTGGGTTCCACACCCTCTTATATGCCACCAGCCCCAGAACAGGTAACTTTATAGTTCGTATTTTCACCCACTGAGCCTTCTAAGATGCAAAGAGTAGTGAAACACAGACCACCTCTCAGTGGGAGGAAATCTCAGTCACACTGTGTGTGCAGAGAATGTATGTTGGTTTGGCTACTTTGGAAAATGCAATCTGCCACACACACACACCACAATTGTTTCTACGGACTTTTAATGCTTCTCTCTCATCCAGCAATCTAGCTGAGCTCTCTATTATTTTGTAGTGACTCTGAATTTCTCAATATAACCAAATAGTGATCATTCTGTCTCTTCCCTATATTTCATATTTCTTATTTATTCACACCTCTTATTTCCCTTACTTATCTAATTTCATTGGCTGGGACTGCCTAATCAATATCAAATAGACATACTTTTTCCCCTGATTTGTAAACAACTGCCTCTAAGGTTTAACCACTAAACATAACATTTGCTTTGGGTTTTTGATCGATATACCCTTTTCAAATTAAGATGGTTTCTCTTCAACTTCTAGTTGACTAAACATTTTTTTATCATGAATGGGTGTTGAATTGTATTCAATGTGTTCCCTACATTTATGGAAGTGATCATATAGCTTTTCTCCTTTACTCTGGTAATGTGCTAAATTACAATTAACAGATTTTCACTTAGTAATATGACCTCAAGTTTCCTCTATGTCTTTTCATGGCTTGATAGCTCACTTCTCTTTAGTGCAGAATAATATTCCACTGTCTGGATGTACCATCATTATTTAATTTAAAATGTAAGCACCTATGTTTTTAAGTTAAACTGACCTCTAATTTTCTACTTGCATGTTATTTATTCAGTTTTAGTACCAAAGTTACACAATCTCATATAAGAAGTTGGATAGAGGGGTGCCTGGGTGGCTCAGCTGGTTGAGCATCCGACTTCAGCTCAGGTCATGATCTTGCAGTCTGTGGGTCCAGGTCCTGCATCAGGCTCTGTGCTGACAGCTTGGAGCCTGGAGCCCGCTTAGGATTCTGTGTCTCCCTCTCTATCTACCCCTCCCCACTTGCACTCTGTCTCTCTCTAAAAAATAAACATTAAAAAAAAAAAAAGTTGGCTAGAAATACTACCTTTCAAAAAAAATAAAAAGAAATACTACCTTTCAGTTTCAAATACTTTTCCATGAACGCATTAACAAATAATTGTAATTAGCTGAAAAGATGAAAAAGTGTCAACTATTTCTACACATTAATTATAAACATTCTTAAACATTAAGTAATAAATTTTATATGTAAAATTAAACAGGTCTCAGCTTATATTTATTTGCATAATCTGAAACACTTTATAGAGCTGAAACACTACAAAGTACAAATAATTTCATATTGCAAGTTAGTAACATATAAAAAATATTAATATGAAATAATACTAAAACATACGGTTTTCTGTTAATAGCTCTTCTGTATCAACTGTAGAGACACAAATTGGTGAGAATAAAAAATTCTGAAACACTATGCAGGTAAGAGTGAAGAAGCATTCTCATACATGACTGACAGAACGTACACAGATACAATGTTTGAGAATGATTTAATAAGATCATAAATTTGATTCACCCTCCTTACCCTCTAGGAGGGTTTTATATCACCCAGCCACATAGGTATGTGTGAAGATGTACACACAAGGATGTGCACTGTACATAACAGTGAAAAATTAGCAAGAATGTTAAGTGTCCTTCAGGAGTGAACTGGGGAGATAAATCACAATGCACCAACGCAGCAGAATACATGGGAATCAGGAAAAAGGACACTAAGTGCTACAGTGATATGACAGGATTTCAAAGATACACTGTGTAGTGAAAGAAAGTACAAAAGAATAGGCTCTCATGGGGGGAGGCAGCACTCCACTCAAACATATATATGCCTGAGAATACACTGAATACTTCTAGAAGAAGATGAGAAGTCAGTAACTTCCAGGGAGGAAAAGTGAACATCTAGGGAAGGGTACAGATTTATGTAACTAAAGAGTTGTTTTAATAATGAAAGCTATCAAACAAAAATATATATCACATTCATGTTACCATCAGTGAAATTAAACATTTATTGCCACTTTGAGTATCTCATTCAAATCTTTTTAGAAAAGGAATAAAACACATCATTGCAGCACTATTTACAACAGCCAAGATGTGGAAAGAACTTAAACGTCCATTAATAGATGAAAGGATAAAGATGTGAAATATATGTAAATAAAACAATGGACTACTACTCAGCCATAAACAAGAATGAAACCTTGCCATTTGTTACAGCATAGATAGACCTTGAGGTATGCTAAATGAAATAAGTCACAGGAGAAAGACAAATACTGTATGAGTCACTCACATGTAAAATCTAAAAACAAAACAAAACAAAATAGGGGCGCCTGGGTGGCGCAGTCGGTTAAGCGTCCGACTTCAGCTAAGGTCACCATCTCGCGGTCCGTGAGTTCAAGCCCCGCGTCAGGCTCTGGGCTGATGGCTCAGAGCCTGGAGCCTGCTTCCGATTCTGTGTCTCCTTCTCTCTCTGCCCCTCCCCCCTTCATGCTCTGTCTCTCTCTGTCTCAAAAATAAATAAACGTTAAAAAAATTTTTTTTTTAAAAAATAAAAAAACAAAACAAAATAAAAACCTCACAGATACAGAGAGCAAACTAGAGGTTACCTATGTGGAAGGGGGTTTAAGGGTGGGTGAAATGGATGAATGAGGCCAACTGCATGGTGATGGATGGTAACTAGTCTTGTGGTGGTAATCACTTTGTCATGTACGCAGATGTCAAACAGTAAAGTTGTACACCTGAAACTTACATAATTAAAAAAAGAAAACCCCATAAATCAGATATAGCTAAAGGCTTTCTCCCTACCCTGCCCCTCTTTCTTTCCAAAGTAACCTGTCCTTTTAACTCCTTTTTATTGGGCACTTTTTGTGCCATTTGGGTTTTAAACCATATATTTATATATTCTTGAGTTCATATATTACTTTAAAATAAACTAAAATTCTAATAAATACAAGTATAATATCAGTTCTAATGCTATATAGTTTTAAAATCAGATTGAAAAGTTGCTGCAATCCACAGAATGGGAGAAAAATCATTGCAAATCATGTATCTGGTAAGGGATTGCTATCCGGATTATATCAAGAACTTCTTCAATTAAGAAAAAAAATTTTTGGGGCGCCTGGGTGGCGCAGTCAGTTAAGCGTCCGACTTCAGCCAGGTCACGATCTCGCGGTCTGTGAGTTCGAGCCCCGCGTCGGGCTCTGGGCTGATGGCTCAGAGCCTGGAGCCTGTTTCCGATTCTGTGTCTCCCTCTCTCTCTGCCCCTCGCCCGTTCATGCTCTGTCTCTCTCTGTCCCAAAAATAAATAAATGTTGAAAAAAAAAAAAATTTAAAAAAAAAAAAAAAAGAAAAAAATTTTTTTTATTGGGCACAGAGGGTCCCTCCATTATATGAGCCCTTCTTCAATGCTTGTGTTATACATATAAGCCTATTTTCCGGGGGCACCTGGGTGGCTCAGTCAGTTATGATCTTTAGGTTCGTGGGCTCAAGTCCCATGTTGGGCTCTGTGATGACAGCTCAGAGCCTGGAGCCTGCTTCAGATTCTGTGTCTTGCTCTCTCTGCCCCTCCCCTACTTGCTCCCACTTGCGCTCTCTCAAAAATAAAACATTAAAAAAAATTTAAACCTATTTGCCACAGTTAAGTTTATCTGTCAGTTTGATTCCAATTTTTA